AGGCTTATCACATTCTTTTGCAAAAACAGAATCAGCATGGCAAGACAGTGTTTTTAAATGTTAATGCATCTTTAGAGAGAAAACAGTAGTATTTGATAGCTTGTGCTAGCTCTGGGAGAAGCATCTTTGTTGTATAAGAAAAGAAACAACATTCATCTTGGGTTTCTTGTCATGACTGGATAAAAGGTAGGTTATTACTTCAGTTAAAAAAAGGGAGAGGAATCTAAATGACAACACTATAAAATGCTTATCTTCCCTGATGTCTCCAGGATAATATGAACTCAAAGGAAATGCTTTTCTACCTTAAGGATGGCTTTTGGCAACCTGTGAACAATGACAACCCCTTTGTCATGTATAAAGTTAATTTCTTTTGAATCGATGCAGAGATATGTAGAGTGATCTAGTACTTGAGCAGTGGATTGAAAATCAGGTTTTGTTTTTCTTGTCTAGCTCCGCCTCCGCTTCAGCGTTCAACCTTGCGCAAAGCACACAACCTGTTTGGGTGCAGCAGACGTAGCACTCGGAACGTTCCACGTAGACTTTAAATGCCAAGTGTCTGGATGTACAGACACTTAAGACCGCTTTAAACTTCTCAGAGGGCGCGTCTACCTGGGGTTGTGCTACATCACCGTAGCAAAAAATAAACGGCTAAAAATAACCATGCACTGCTAGCATAGTGCTGAAAGGACAAACGTAGATGCATCCACTGTATTTCAAAAGTGCACCAGGAAAAGCAAGTACTATTTTGAGCTGGTCCTCTGAGAGTCAGTTCAATGTTATGTAGGGACACATAGGATCCCATGCCTAGTGTCTGGTTAGTCCTCCAGGTATCCCAAACTGCATTGCTCTTTACCTGCCTCCCCAAACACACACTGAGCAAGAGACCGCTTTGACATGCAGCCAGAACTCTCTTGTGCAAACAACAGATCGCAGTTTGCCTGGGTGGGAGCGCAGACTAACGAGGCCTCCATGTTAGTTTGCTTCCCTGCTACAGATGCTGAGTCCCAGGCTCATGTGGGACAGGGAATGGGAGTGGAAAGGTTGCCAGGTGCTGAGGGGATTGTCTGGCCCCCTGCCTGGGGTGACTAGAGGGCTCGGTGCTCCAGGGCCCCCCAAGACCTCTGCAGTTTTTCAACCCCTCTGATGGAAAAAGGCTTGGCGAGTTCACCTCCCTGCTAGAGCTGAGTGCTCTGGCGTTCACAGGCTAATATGGGGTAGGGGTGGAGTTGGAGGGCTCAGGCCCCAGTTTCCCCACATGCCTACCCCTAATCCTAACCCCTCCAATCTCACCCGTACCCCTAATTAGCCCTCAAATCACATACTAACAGCCAGTGTTGGAACGTGACTGCCAAAGTAGGAATGGGATTTTCTTTCATGTGAGGTTGTTTTTGCTTGAACCACGAGCCGGTTCCACAGAAGGCCAACCCCGCCCCTGTCAGCCCGCTGAACAGAACTGCGTAAAGACGGGTGAGAAAAAATGTAGCGGGGTGAGCAATTGTATAGATCCTTTTTTTACTTTCATTTTTCCAGATGTAACTTTCCCTCTTTTCTTGGGATACATCTGACCTGCACGCTTGCACATATCAGCACAAGTCATAAAGCTGAATTTCCACATGCCTCTACAAGTAGGTAGGAATCAAATAATATCTGAGTCTGACAATGTTACTCCAAATTTGACTTAAATCTGTAAGGACTTGGTTACATGGTAAGTTTATGTGGCTTCTGGAGCTCTTATCCCTTGGACTGGCTGCACATTAACACCTTTTAAGCATCTTAAAAGCACTTGTTATTCGGTTTAGAGTTATGCCACGCTAGGGCAGGATCATCTCCAATCCACCTCATTGTGTTCCTGCTCCATTACCATGTGGCCACTTCCCACAGCTATTGCACCCAAGTTGAAGTCCTCCAGTATCCCAGAATTCTCTGTGCTCTGAGGGGCCCAATTCTTTTTTCTCCGCAGCTCTGCCACCCAGACCTGCTCTGCTCCTGCCGGCAATGGCGTGGGGAGAAGGGGTCACCTGAGCTCTGCAGAAAAAAGGACCAGGCCCCTTGGAGTTCAGAGTGACCTGAAGCTGAGGCGGTGGCTTCGTCCAGAAAGGACAGCTCCCAGGGCTTCGGCAGAGCACCTGTGCCAGTTCCAGCGAGACCAGAGAGCCCCAGGAAAACTGCTTCCTCGGGTCTCTCTGGTCTCACTGAAGTGCACACAGTGGTGAGCAGCAAGTGGTCCTGCTCCCAGTCCTGCCCCTGCTCGCCAAGCCTTTAGTGGCAAGTTACAGCTGTGCAGGTGAAGGACAGTCAGAGCAGGTTTTTTCACCTTACTGTGCGACTGCTCCACTTAGCTGAGCCACACTAAGCCAGTGACCGTTTGTTTAGCTAACAGCGTAAGGTCTAACAAGGCCCTAAATTAAAGTTAAGAGAATTAAATCTAGACTAAGCGCCAAATCGTATCCTTATATCTTAATATGTGGCTTTGAGTGCAGTCACGCCTATTGGACGATGGACTTCAGGCTTGGATATTCTTTTGCTTGCTCTTGAGAAGACCTAAATTTCAATAAATTTCAACAAATTTAGGTGCCTACATTTTGAGGCACCTTTATGAGGCCCGATTATCAGAAACTTCTGAGCACCTGCCCTTTGAAAGTAAAGCTAAGATGTCTCATGTTGTACACCAAAAATGTAAGATGCCAAAACACTGGGCATATTTGATATTCAGCAGCATGTTCTTTTCTTAAATCTCTATTTTCTAAGATACTATTATTCCTCCTCTTATTTACCATGAGCCCCATTACTAGGGACTTTAAATTGGACTCATTTATTTTGATATTTTTTCCTTTTTTTTATTTTTAATATCATACCATAATGGAAAACTGAAAAAAGAAACCTGATGTAAGGAGGTCTTCCCCTAGAGACAGGGATCAACCTCACTATTGACAGTAACAGTTCTTTTCTTCAGCTCAGTAGTATTATTGTTCCATACAGTAGTATTATTGTTCCATACATCACTATAGGTATAATGGTTTTCCTTCCCTAATAAATAAAAATAAAAATGTTTTTTAAAAGTAGAGGCTAGGAGAGGGATCAGCCTGGAGCTATTGCATGGGTTTGCTGTGTGAGGTTGATATCAGCCTCCAGCTATTGCATGGGTTTGCTGTGTGAGGTTGAAAAAGTTTTTTTTTCTCTTTGTCTCATTTACCAGTGACTTGGAAATCAGGGTACTTACAAAAAGTACCCTGTTGTGTGACTCGAGGCAGGTCATTTCTCATTTATATGCTTCCCCTCCCACCCATTTTCTGTTTTGCCTATTTAGAGTATAAGGTCTTCAGGCCAGAGCATGCTTCTTACCATACCTTATTACATTCAATCTTAATTAAGGCTTTTGGCACTACTATGCTTTGACACACACAGATGAAAAACATTATATAAGGGCCCTGGTATTATTTATTATTAACAGCTCGCCATTTGCAAAGTACTGTGGGATCTCCGACTGATGGATGAGCACAAGAAATCCCTGTGCTTGTCCCACTCAAACCCTGAGGTAGAAATCCAGAACCTCAGTCCTGGTCCTAATGCCGCAGCAGACAGTCAGAGCTGTGCTGCTCTGTTTGTTCATGTGAAACGCTCCCAGGTCTTTATATTAAAAATATTTACTTATGAAGGCCTGTGGGGTTTTGTTTTCCAGCAGAGCTGCTGAGCCCTAGGCAAGCATGGAAGTCCCATGATGCCTTGGTCAGCTCTTGTTTCCAACCATGCTGCGTATATCCCAAAACATATAACAGACATCCAGACACAGACACTTATCATCTGTGCTCTCAAGTGGAATGCATTATCCACAAACAAAGATAGAAAGATTTATCTTATAAAAGGGGGGTGAGGGGATGGGGAAGAGGAAAAATGTTTCTTACAGTCAGTTGTGATTTCATAGGGAGAGTTGAGGCGTGCATCTCCGCAGGGTGAAGTGCTCACATACAGATGGAACAGAATGTTCTCTTTCAGCCTGTAGCCTCCTTCTTTTAATCGCACGAAGATTGATCGCTCCCAGTCCTCTCGCCGTTTGCTATGATCACAAAAGAGGTTTCAGGTCATTTGTTACATTCCAAATCAGAAACACTTCTGCTCTCTCCACTTTTTTCTTTGTTTTTATTAGCACCTTGCATCATATTTTTTCTGCAAGTGACAACAGTAGAAAAATAATCAGATGCTTCAAGGAATGGAGATGCTTCAAGGGTCCTGCAACTGTCAATGTGTTTCTTGGCGTACTTCTTTGGAATGTATTCGAATGAATTTTTAAAGGGGTTCTCAGGTCCCAAGTATGTTCTGATACATAATGTTCACTAATTTTGATGGGAGTTTTGGGCACGTATTGAAGAAGCACAAGCTCTCTTGGGCTCTTCCATTTGACTGATTGTTCAAATTCACCACAGAACCTAAGCACATATTTAGATCTCATTAAAGTCAACATAACATAAGCACACGCTTAATGTTTTGCTGAACAGGGGCCATAAAAGAAAGACCAGAATTTGTTAGCAAAAAACACCAAAAGAAACAGATTTTAGATGTACCAAAATACGGTACATTTTTTCCTTCCTATTCAAACCCAGCGAGTGTGAATTCTACAGAGGTGTCACATCTGGGATCTCCCTGGAACGTGGCAGAGACATTTCCTTCTTGTAAGTCGCCTCAAGCTGTAGGCCAGCAGTGGCCACTCGTCCACTTGACACAGAAGCAGTCGTGGCGGGGGGTGGCAGGGCTGGGTTGGCAACAGTGGCAGCTGCCATTTTTGTGCCCCTTTAAGCTGATTCTCAGGGCTGGTAACCCAGTTGCCCACATCTCATTGTGCTACCGATCCTGATGTCTCTGGAAATCACAGCCAACCATGGACTGCTCAGTGGGGATTGAAACTGGGACCTTTGCAGCAAAAACACAGGCCTCTACTACTAGAGCTAAAAGAGTACTTTAGTTAGATGGTAGCAGTAGTAAGTTTTTATCTTCTAACTAGTTTGGCAACCAGGTGGGGACATCATATATTCAGCCAAAATATTACATCAGGGGTGCTCAACCCTGGTCCTGTTTTTTCACCTTTTTATATCATTTGGCCTGCGGGGCTCCTCAGGGGTCTGGACATTTGGTAGTGGGGGGCAGCATTAATTGCAGCTTCTTTTCTGCCAAATTTCTGGATCTGAGGGAAGCCCCTTGGGCTGGATAATGTGACCCTAAGCACCAAATCACTTCAGTGTGTGGCTGGATCCGGGCATTCACAGTCAGGCTATGGCATAGCCAGATTCAGGTACAGGGGATTGCCCCCATGGACTGACCCCCACATGCTAACCCTGCCCACCGACCAACTTCTTGCCACTCATCCAGCCCCAAATTCCTTTTGCTGCTAATACAGTTTGAAACAACAGAAGGCATCAAGGCTGTACGGCTGTGTAGTCACCCAAGTGATTTTTCCTTGGACTGTCAGAAGGCAGTGACAATTTCTTTGACAGACAGCAGGACTGCACACATTTTAGTGACAAGGATGATTATAGTGTTTTGTGCGTAGCTGTGGAATGAGAAACTGCTCACAAAATCCCAGCTCTGTCCCCAGATACAAATGTTTTAATTGAATGTGTGTGCGTATCAGAGGGTAGAACTAGGTATATAGGTGGAATACCTAGGGTGTTTGTGCTGAAAAGCTTGCTAAGAAGAATTTTCCCCAGCTATTTGAGTTGGTTCTAATAAAAGATATCGGATTAACCCACAGAACCTTGTCTGCCTGTGTCCTTGGACCAACACGGCTACAACCTACACCCCTTCTCAGGATGTGTCATTGAGCAAGTATAGCTCCCATCTAATCTGCAGGGAGGGCAAGCTGTTTGGCCACGGGTATTTTGTTGCTCTGCTGATTCAGTTAATCTATAAATTAATCTACCTTGCCTTCTGCCTATCTCAATGAAATGCGAGTGCTTTCTTTTCAAGCTCAGAACTAGCCAGTGGCTTAATGAGTCCTTGGATCTTCTCTGAGCCGGGCCTGTCTGTCTTTCCCCTGGTGCAGTCTCTGTGCTGTGGAAGCTGTTTGGCTGTCACTCTTCCATGGGCTGGTTGTTTTGTCCGTTTTTGATGCTGTGATGCGTTTTCTGGCAGGGGGAATAAACAGGGACATTACCCTGCCTGTCAGGGATAGTTTTACAGGGACATTACCCTGCCTGTCAGGGATAGTGAGCCACAAGGATTTCCTAAGGAGAAACTGCCACATACGGTTTTCTCATTCTTCTTCTGTCTTGGGTGGAATTTCCTAACCACGCTAATGACATTATCACCCAGATACAACCCACCAAAATAATAAAATACCTGTACGTCCTGCTGCTTGGGCTTCAGAGAAATCGCTGCTGCCTTTAAATAATTCACTGCAAAATCAGCTGGGTGACGGTAGAGTGACACAGTCTTAATGTCTGCTATTATTATGTTAAACTCTATTAGTGAAGACAGCCTGTGGTACTTAGCAACAGTTGCTAGGCAGGGTTGGAATGGCCATTTTTGGGCTGGATTAAGTAAATTCATAGTAATCACCACCCATTCTGTTCTTTCATTTTATTGTTTGTATACTGATTAATCTTATTCCCTTTTCAATCCCTGGGTGCCAAGAACTATCTAGGGCAAGGAGGGATGATATTTTGGGAATATCCATAGGAGGCCTGGGGTTATTTTTATTGGATCAACTATATTGTTGAGAGAGACGTTGGTCAATCTTTCAGGCCCAAAGCACCCTTCTTTAGGTCTAGGAAAGAAGCAGACACAGGCTAAGCTAAATAACAGAAACCCCCCTGCAATAAATTGTGTTTATCTCCATGTAAATAAAAGCATTTTAAAAGGGTCTTTAAAAGGAGGCTAGATAGACATCTTGCCGGGGTTGTTTGACCCCAGCATCCTTTTCTGCCCATGGCAGGGGGTTGGACTGGATGATCTGCTCAGGTCCCTTCCGACCCTACCAACTATGAAACTATGAAACATTTAACTATTCAGCAGATATCAGAGCTGGAGGATAACATGGCTGGCTCTTCCTGTAAGAGTCCAGAAGTGTCTTAATGATGTGTGATCCAAATCAGCCTGAGCTCATTTTAAATTCAGATCCCTTCCTCCATGATAGCTGTGTATCTTTATAATGGAGGCATCACTGGGGTCTATAGGCAAAATTACTGGACGTGGAATCGGATGGTAGCTTGTACACCTACCCACAGTCCAGGCATCAGCTTGTACTTGTGCTCTTAGCATGCTAGAGGTAGGAGATTATCAGGACCCTGGTTGTCATTAATATAATGGTGCAATTGGGATCTGAGGAATTTTATGCTCCATCAGCAAAATTGTACAGCCTGCTATGCCAGATGTGCATGGAAGGACACACAAGTTCTGAAATGGGCTACAAAATTCTTCATATCCTAATTGCATGACTGCAGGGAAGGGGAAAGCTGTTTCCTAGACCCCAGGTGTGCCTGGTGCCTGATGCCTCTGATCACCCAGGGCAGCCCTTGGCCTGAATTAAGAGCAGGGGCTGGCCCCAACTCAATCCGAGGGACCTTGGGCTGTCCTGGTCTCAGTGCTGACAATCAGCTGATTGTCTGCATTGGCCCGGGACAGCCCCAGATCCAGGACACATACCACATGTTCAATTTTAAGTGCCATACAAAACAGCCACACGTATAATGTGGAACATCTCTTTTGCTGGTTTGCTATTGTACTGTGCTGTAAATTGACTGAACTTTGTCATGTTGCAATTAACCCCTTAATTGCATCATAAGTGTAACATCTGCCAGAGTCCTGAAAGTTGTAACTACCAGGGTCTGCACTCTAGCTGGCAATGGCAGCAGCTGGAATAGCTGTGGCAGCAGGGGTAGCTGCTGTTCTTATGCCCTCTCTAAGAGGGCACCCAGGACTGGTCACCCACCCTTCGTTATGTTCCTGGGGACTGTGGAATCACCCACCCTTCATTATGTTACTGGGGACTGTGGAGCCAACAGTGATACTAGGAGCTTCCTGAAAGTGGGCCATTTGGAGCACAGGATGTACCCATCAAATGCACTCTTTCTCCCAACACACTGGACTTTGGGCCAGGCTCTCTAGGGTTTTGCACCTTGGATAGTCTTTGTGTAAGTGCAAAGTAGGTTTAAAATCTTAAGTTAGAATGCCACTTTCCTGGGGCATAAATGCCTGTACAAAGCAACAGACAATGAAAAGTGAATCCCAGTGTATTGCACAAGCACTATGCCTTCAGTGTACAGACAGTGGCTAAAAGGCAGACTCTATCTCTGTGTATTTGATTGTGATGTGCACTTTCTCTCCTGTCTCATGCAGTCTTCGAGATATGAATGCAGGCCTGCAGGGAAAAGCTGGTCACAGAAGAATAGCTGAGGTTAGAAATTCTGCCACAAGGGCAGGGCTTCCAGGGTATAGACCCTGATTTCATAAACCACTTGAGAGCATGCTTACTTTGAAACATGTGCTTAAGTCTATAGAAAATGCATAGCCAGATATGCAAAGTTGACTTCTAGGAGACTTAAACCTGTGCTTAGTGTTTAGTACACCTAATCAGGACCTTACTCTTAAAAAAGGAGGAGTTATTTTAGTATGTTATGCATGTGAGATTCAGGTAAAGGAAGTCTGCAGACCAAAAAGAAAAGTACTGTAAATGTACATACTGTCCCACAGAAACCCTAATAGCAAGCGTAAAGAAAAGCAGTCAAGTCCATTATAAGACTACTGGGATGAAAACAAGAAATGAGTAAGTTTATGGCCAAGCAGTTGGTTTTATTGCAGCTAATGCGATTGGTTGAAAACTACTCACTGCTTTATAATGTATAAGCTAAAGAGTGATTGGCTTAAAGAAACTCATCTGCCACTGAACTTCATCACCCTGGGAACTATAAGCCTTCTACTCCAGCAAGATTACTATGCCATACAAATATTTTTAATAGGATGCTAATGGTTATATTAAAGGGAATATATATATATATAGGGCCTGATTCTCTACTTCACTTACCAGTATATGTCAGAAGTAATTGTCAATGTTGTTTCCCAATG